TATTTTGTAAGAGTACCTACTTGATGATCATCAAAAACGCTTTTATTAGATTAAAAAAAACACACACACAAATTAACTGTTGTTACATAATTTAGCGTAATGTAACAAGTTGTATGTGGAGTGTGAAAGATTGCTTCCTATTTATTTGTCTAGCGCAATAAGTTCGTGTCAGCTAATTTTTCGTTATTGGACTTATTTAGAAGATTTTATAATGCTTTTTGCTTAAAAGGAATTTGATATGTAACTTTCTAAACTTAAAAATATATCTCATAATGAGATTCTTATTTACTTATTTAATAGATATTACGTTACACCTTCCTGGTGCTTTTAACTATATAACAAAGCCTATATATGAAGGTCTCATCAAATATATGTCAAATGGAAATACATTTTTAAATTTAGTTTTAAAAAAATTTATTATCTTTTCACAAAATATGTGTTAAAAGTTATATTAATTTGCATTCTATGCATAATTTTTTAATGAAATATTTTAGCATGAAGCTATGAGTCCTTAACTAAAAAAAAATTATACATTTTTATAAAGTTAGTCCCTAAAAACCTTATTTTTAATAAAATGGCACTTAAAAATACAAAATTTATATTTCAATCACTGTTATAAAAATCAGATTTATTAACATGAATATTATTAATTAAAAAAAATGTAAAATTTTAACATTTTTTTTTGTAGAAAACCTGGGTTTGTAATTATTTTAACAAATGAAAATATTTTACCGAAAGTTTTGTAAAGGTTATATTCAATTTTGTAAGGATTTTGTTAATTTCAAAAGTTACAGATTAATAATAATAATAGTTCTTTATTGATTATCATAATTATAAAAATAACAACAATCAAAAGGCCATTTACAGATTATTTTGTTAATATTTAACAAATTATTTCGTTAAAAAAGTACACGTAATTTCAGACTGTCAATCAAAACATTTCCCACTGACAATACGCATCAATAAGTTCAACTGACTTCAGCGACTGCAACTTATGTTCCTGCTTACTTTATTCCAATTCGTAACGTGTTCGTTACAACTGTCCTGAGGTTTTATAATATATTATCAGAAGTCTGTTATTGTTATTGTTATTTGCACTGTTCAAAATTTCTTGACCATTTTAACAACAAATTAACACCACACATGGTCTATATCGATACAAACCAAAATGGTGTTAAATATGGTTCGTTGGTCCAATGTAATTTTAAATACTAAAATAGTGTAAATTTAACTTTCACACAGTATTAAAATAAATTTTACCTGGTGTAAATTTTACTTCTTTTCAGTGTTAAATATTATGTGTTTTTGATCAAATTAAATCATACTACACAGAAAAAAAAAGGAAACAGGAAGTTCCTTGACGCATTACAAGTATATTACCAGTGGTAATATTCCAGAAAATTGAACCTACAACTCGCTAGAGATAATGTTTTTAGTGCGTTCCACCAACTTAAAACACTTTAAGTATTGACACCTGTTTCCACCTATTTAGGGTCCACAGTTGATTTAAATAAAATAATAATAATAATAATAAAAATGAACTATCCCTTTTTTTCTGTGTAGGTGCACTTCTCAAATATTTTTAGATAAACACCGTTTTGGTGTTTGCTGAATATAACATTTTCGACCATAATTCATGGTGTTTACATTAACACCACTTGGTGTTGGATTTTGACACCATTTTAAGATTACTCTTTACACCACAGATATTTTAAACAGTGTGGATTCCTTATAAACTATATATAGATATTTAACGAGTGTGCGAAATGACAAGTATCCGAAAATTACAGTGTTGTATTAATAGGTACTGATAATTATATTGTACCAAATTTGATTTCAGAATCGTGTTATTTAATTGTACACAATATGTAATTTTTGTGTTCATTTATATAGGTATGTGTTAATTTTTTTGTTTAGGAAATTGATACTTTTGTGACTGGGTCTACAAAAAGGTTTGCAAAAATAAGGTCCTTTTTCAAAAATTACAAGAATTATGGTTGAATTATTGACATAGGATTTTGTTATTAAATCTACAAAATGTTTGTTATAATCACAAACTACTTATTTAATTAGTTAGCAGATTACAGTTAACACATTTTAACATAAAGGTATGTGGACCTGAATTAACATAAAATCTGGTTAATATATGGTTAAAATTAACAAATATATTTTTACTGTGTTTATAAAGATAATAAAACCCGATCAATTAATAATTATTGTCAACATGGGTGTAATCTATATTTTCTACATGTCACAACAGAAACGTGATCATAGCAATCATACTTCGTGTAACAAAAGTGTAACTACCACATCAGATTTAATAATTACTTATTGTATTAAACAATGCAAAACATTACATTGCGATATATGATTTAGTTATTTCTCTTCACACCGGCTTTAAAATCTAATGTAATTATTACAATTACGCACTCAAAAGTGGAGTATACAATGAGCGCTGTTGTGTTATTTTGCGCGAAAATAATTAAAATGTACAAGGTCCAACAATTTCAATGGTATCTGCAAAGTGACGAAATTTGGGAAAATGCATAAAATTTAAGGTCGTTTTCTATGTAGTATTTTTAGGAGTTGGGTAAAAAATGTTAATTGTATTAAAGAGAGTGTAATTAATTGTATTATTTTTAGTGTACCTTGAAAAATTTGTTAATACATCTTTGAGGTGTGTATGCTCTGTAACTTAATCTGTAACAACTAAAATCTGATAAAATGCTGTAGTTTGTAGTAGAGTCTATTTAAAAGACAATTACAAAGTTTTAGAAAGATTGACGGTATGGTTTCCGAGTAAAAAATTATTAAAGTTGCTAAGACTACACGAGATGTTATCGTTTATTATTGCTAAACTTTGTTGCGAATGTTGACAAAAATTTATATGCCAATTCTATAGGTATATATGCCAATTCTATAGGTATGCCAATTCTATAGGTATATATAAGTGCATAGGTATATATAAGTGCATAAGGGAAAAAAATCATCGAATTCTTATTGACATGTTATAATATATTGAAAAATTAAAACAGTTAATAAACGAGTTGCATAATATACTTTATCTATTTTGCGATCATTATGACTTCATTATAACACCCAAAATTTTGATTTTATAGGTTGGCTATACTTTAAACAGCATAATATTTTGCATATTGGTTATAATATTTTTATGATTTTTCTAGTATACTTACGAGAATTTTCTGGCAATAAATTTTGTTAAACACCCAAGAAAATCCTTTCTTTCTTTAAAATTAACAGCCGCTTATTGTAAATAAGTAAATTAAGGACGGCATGGCTAATCGATTTTGACATTTACTGTCAAACCAATGACTGTGATACAAACTAGTTAAAGTAAAATTCGACCAAATTAAATTTAAGGTATAAAATTATTTTTTTTATGGAATTTTTTCAAAATAGATAAAATAGCATAAAGAACTCATGTCCGCGTGCGACAAAATGACGTCGTATGACATTAGTTCTTTAATATACTATTTTCTACGACAAATACTTAATATTATCCAAAAAATGATTTAAATTAAATATTTGTATGAAGCGACATCTGTACGAAAACAAAGTAATCATCCCAATAAACATTTTTGACGTAATTTTCACCAATAATTTTAATTATTTATTATTGTTATTATTTTAATGAAGTTAACAATTATTGATACTTATTAAAATAACTTTAAAATATGATTAGGTATATTAAGAACATATTTTATCCTTTGATTTTTTGTATTACTACAATGGAAAAAATATTATCTAAAGTATGTATTTATTGGAATTGACGTTAGAATTAGGGAATCCACCGGCCTTAAAATCTCAAATTTATCTGTGTAAATCAAAATTTATCCCTTGAAAATAGACTAACAATCGATATAGAAGCGTATTTTTACAGTAAAAGAGAAGAGAATGTTTTATGGGCACTGCAGTGCACTGTACGCAAAATTTTTAACGCTTTATCAATTAAATCTAGTTAACTGCACTATTATGGCGAAATCATATAATCTTTTCAAATATTGGCGTCAAGAAACTATTTAATGCTTTTGTATTGAGATAATAAAATAATTTTCACATTTAGTATTATTTTACAAAAAAAGAGACTTTATTTTAACGATTGTATGACATTTGACAACTGAACTAACTTCAGCCCGTGACTAAAGCGCAATAAAACCACAACTTGTCAATATGTATTTAAAAGTTCACAGTGTCATGAAAACATGTACTATAACGGGCGTTTTAAAAGTGGGAGTAAAATAATATATTATATATGTATATAGACCCGTTTCTATTAAAATAAAAAAATATTTATAAGTATAATTCAGTTAAAAAATTGTCTATTTTTTAAATCAAATGTAATAAAATAACAAAGTAAATTTTGTTTATGCATGTTGGTACCTATCGCTATTTTTGCTCTCCCTTATCCCTTTCCCCGCAATGGACTGCCCCTTAAATGACAAAAAGCATTTTTTATTTTTACTTTCAAAAAATTTAATTCCAGAAAAATTTTGATGTTTATATTTTAAGAAAAGAATTTTTTTATAAAAAAACAATTTTGTATATCAGGGCGCCTATACCTATGAGCAAGGGGGGAAACGCCAACGCAATTTATGTGCAAAATATATTGGGTGTTTTCATATAAATGGGACACCCCTCTAAAATCTTTATTTGAAGAGATATTAGGAGATAAAAAAAATAAAACACATAACAAAAATATATACAAACTATATATTTTTAAAACCAGAAGAAAAAACAATGTTAATGGTATTTTATTTAATTTACCGATGCCTTTTTTTTTTAATTTTTATCAAAAAATTAATTTTTTAAACTTTGCGAGTTGGATTTTAAATCTTTTCGATATCTGTTTTATTAAAGATTTTATAGGGGTTTCCCATTTATAAGAAGAAAAAAATCTTAAAAATAATCTTTTTTCTAAAATAATCCTTTCACTTATAAATCCACTTTTGCACTATATGTATAACACTGTATTTCCTTACCAAAATTTGTATCCTCATTGTACCTAAACTACACTACAGCACTGGTTTAAGTTAAAACGCGAACTTGCCTTCCAAGAAAGTAAGAGAATCGTTTTATATTGCAGATGGCATGGCCCCACTTCTTGGCTATCTTTAACCATAATTTTGAGATGTTTTAACTGAATTTATTGGATTTTAGAATTTTATCTTATTGTAAGCACTAATAAATAATGATTTATTGACTCGTGCTGTAATAATTATTTTCTAGTCAGTTTATTGATTTACCTATGTGTGATTTTTTTTAATTTCAACATTTTCATTTTTGTTAAAAGTAAAAAATTGAAGAAGAGTTTTAGTGACATAAAATAATTTACTACTTTTTGACGTCAAATTGATAGGGTGCCTATTTAAAGAGTGCCAAGAGAAAAAATATTAGATATATGGGTGATTCTACAAGTTGGACAACTTGATGTTATCAGTCAATAGAGTAGGTATTTTAATATTTTTTGTAAATATTTTAGTAAATTACAAAAGATCCAGGTTGCTTTAACTTGTCCACCCAATTTTAATGAATTTTTTCAAAAGCACGTTTGTAGAAAAAACATAATAAATATTCAAAACATCAGTACCTTGGCGTGTCACAACTCCTGAATCAAATATTTGAGTGATTTTATTTTAAAATATATTCAATTTATCTTAAACTTTTCAATTTCACTACAAACTATAAAACATTAAATAATGCATTTTTCATATTTTATCATAGATTCGAATAATAGCAATTTTTAAAAAATTGATAATCTTTGTACTCACTTTTACCCGTCAGTTCTGTGTCCAATGTTAAAATTCAAAATTCCTGCAAAATATTGAAGTTTAAACGTCAAGTCCTCGTTTTAATTCAAGTGTTGGTAAAAAATTACACGACATTCATCTTGAAAACAATGCAAGCGGCGAAGTTGTGGTGAATGCACGTATAGTTCCAGTCAAAATGTCAGTACTGTGGTGAGTAGTTATTTTCTTACGTATATATATTTCATTGTAATTTACATAAGGCTATATGTGATTTGTTGATAAGTAGTCCACTACCCCAAAATATCAGTAAAATACTTAATTCCGAATAATAATCTCAAATCTGTATCCCATTCATCAGTAACGTGTCGTCAGTTCCATGTTCTATGTTTCGGTTATCTTTTTTTCACAAACTTCAATTTAAATTCTGCTTGCGCAGAACTTGTTTATTTAATAACATTATAAACTCATATAAATTAGGTGTGGGCCCCATATCTAATAATTGAGATATCGGTATACCCAAAATCCACCAGCCGCCACTGATGTGTGGTATTATTTGATTTTAAGATATTTAATGTATAATATGCTCAAAGTTGCAATAAATCTTATATTTTCCAATAAATTATGTATTTAATTAGTACCCTGGTATACTCGTCACTTCCCCTGCATTCAAATTTAGAAAACACAGATATTTCAGAAACTGTTTGAAAAAGTGACTGGCCCGGTCTGGAACGGTATATTTATTATATTATCTATGTTCTCTTAACAAAATACTGTTTAATTTTCTCCGAAAACTATATAAACAAAATGAGGTCAAAAGTTGCCCAACTTTTGTAGAATCACCCATATATATATATATATAAATCATCCTGTTCCGGCCTAAACATTATAAATGGTTCACAAACTAGAGGTACCACACTTAATAATATTTGCAACAAACTATTTCAGAAGTCAGACCAAGGAATTAGTAGTTACCTTCAGAATCCAGAAAAGGGATGAGGAATCCGAGAAAGAAATATATGAATTATATGATATTTACAAAAACGAAATAAAAAATTACATAAAACAGCAATTTATCTTTAAAAAATATTTAACAATTTATGTTATTTGGTGTAAAGTTGTTGGGTTTATATAAAAATTGTATGTCCAATAACTATGGTCCATTTGTTCAATTACTATACTTTTTTGCATGTTTTTATAAAACTAATATTAAAAATTCCAATATTCTTATTTTTAAGTAAACGTAAATAAAGTTTAAACAAACAAACCATCCTTTTTATACACTGAGAGAACAGTTTATTAACAATTAACTAGATTTATCAATAACTAATAAATACTTTATTCCATTATGGCGGAATAAACATTTATTTAGGACAAACAACGCATTGATTAAAATTGTTTAAATAAATCTTGTTATTAAAAAATAAAGATAAATTTATAATAAATATGTTTTTTTGTTAAAAAATAAATGCTTGTTTATAATAAATAAAGATTAATTTATAATAAATGTGTTTTATTTGTGATAAATAAATGCTTGTTTATAATAAATATAGAAGAATTTAGAAGACATAAAACTTTATTTGTAAAAACTATACTTTAATTCTTTATAAATGTATCCTGTAAGTCGTTGAATCCATTGCTTTCTAAAAATTTGCATAGCTCGTCCATGCATGTTTGGATTTTATAATAATCGCAGAGACACACTAGCCGGCACACAGAAAAGAGCCGGTATTGTACACTGAGACTATAGGTACAATTTAAATTAATGCTATTACAAAAAGATTGAAAACGAAACACTGATGAATAGATAAATAACAGTGCAAAGAACAGAATCACTAAACTTAACAGTACACAGAACAGAATCAGTAAACTTGGCAAGGCAAGTGGTACACCATACGCACGCGGTACACCATGCACCATTCGAGAAACGTCTATGCTGTTTTGGTGCGTTTTGACAGAGTACAGTAAATAAAAAATAAATATTTATTCATTGTTAATATTGATTACTACCTAAAAATGAATTCGAAATTTATAATAAATAACTTTTAAAGATCGCCTAAGCAAATAGGTATTTATTATTCCCAAATTTGCATTATTAATAATAAACATATGTGCAACAAACAAAGTATTTGTTTCTGCTAAATAAAATATATTACGCAGATTATTAATAGTTAAAAAGGTTAATTAATAATAAATTTACTTTATTTATTGTAAATAAATGCTATCCAAATAAAGATTTGTTAACTATAAACTATACTTTTTCTCTCAGTGTATATTTATAAGAAAAAAAACTAAAATATTTAAAACAACTGCCTATATAAATTTTAAATAAATAATATTCCTATTCCTATTCCAATAACTATGTGGTTTACCTATTAACTTAAAATTTTCATAAATTTAGTTATGAAATAAAATACCTAAATTAGTTAAAACATTTGATGGGTAACTTTAAAATTATAATATTCAAATTTACATTATATTTCAAATAGTGTAACATTTTAGATCGTTTACCTAAACTACTAATTTCTTAACTAAATAATTTGCATTTGATACGGTATGCATTCATTTATGGTTATTGAACAGCAATAAAATTTATTATTAATGTTAAGTACTATGAACACAATCATACTAAATGCGAGTGAGCACAAAGGCAAGTTAAGATTTAAAACAACTAGAGAAATATGTTTAGTATTTATCTACAATTTATAGCAATTCGACATAGATTGATATACAAGATCTTGTAAGCAAGTCAAAATATTTAAAATTAACAAAATTCTAGATTAAAATATAAAATCTATCAGAAAATATTCGTATAATTACGTGGGAAATTGCACAGTTATATATTTTATACAGGGTGTTTCTTTTAACTTGAGACAGCTCAATATCTCGAGAAATACGCATTTCACGGAAAAATGTCTTAAATAAAAGGTTAATGTGACTAAAGGGGACATTATTTGGTGCTACCGCTAGCCACCCCCTACCCCTCCTTAAGGGTGAAACGGGGGGTAACTTTGGAAAGTCAAATGGAATGACCCGATTTTTTTCACAGAGTTTGGTAGTACATAAAAAAATAAATAACTTTTATTTTAAACTTTTTTCAATTTATCAACAGATGGCGCTGTAATTCAAAATTTAAGAAAAATGAGTTTCCTTGTAAAATGTATTATTTGAAACGTTTGAAAAACAAAAATTAACATTAAAAACAATAGTCGGCTATGAAAACAATTTATAACAAATGTTCGAAATGTCGTCATTCCATTTCAACACATTTTTGAATGCGGGTAATGAATTCTGGCACACAACGCGCCAACATATCGGGCGGTATCGCCACACAGGCGTTCCTGATCCGCTCCACCATGTCCTCCCAAGTTGTAGGAATTGCAGCGTAAACTTTTTCTTTCAAGTAACCCCACTGGAAGAAGTCTGGTGACGTAAGATCAGGTGATCGAGCAGGCCAAATTACTGGACCACGTCTACCGATCCACCGCGGTGCACCGGCCATTGAACTCCCGATCCAACACCTCTCGAGCAATTGTCGAATAATGTGCAGGACAACCATCTTGCTGGTACCACATGTTTTGGAGCCGTGCTAATGGTACATCCTCCAAAAGGTCCGTCAGATCGTTTTCTAGAAAATTCCGGTACTTTTCGCCATTTAATACACCGTCAATAAAGAAGGGTCCGATTAATAATCGTTCGCTTAAGGTACCGCACCAAACGTTTACCGACCAGGGACGCTGGTGCTCCACTTGGTGTCGAAATGGAAGGACGATATTTCGAACATTTGTTATAAATTGTTTTCAGAGCCGACTATTGTTAATTTTTGTTTTTCAAACGTTTCAAATAAAACATTTTACAAGGAAACCCCTTTTTCTTAAATTTTGAATTACAGCGCCATCTGTTGATAAATTGAAATAAACTTTCCAATAAAAGTTATTCATTTTTTTATGTACTACCAAACTCTGTGAAAAAAATCGGGTCATTCCATTTGACTTTCCAAAGTTACCCCCCGTTTCACCCTTAAGGAGGGGTAGGGGGTGGCTAGCGGTAGCACCAAATAATGTCCCCTTTGGTCACATTAACCTTTTATTTAAGACATTTTTCCGTGAAATGCGTATTTCTCGAGATATTGAGCTGTCTCAAGTTAAAAGAAACACCCTGTATATTGCACATAAAAAGTATGGTCTATGTGAACTAGCCTGAGGCCATTACTTCAGTGTTGCCAGATGTTACAAAAAACGTTGGATCAACCATAGTACCTATAACTAGTTCGAACTAGTTATAGG